CGGAACTCCCGCTCCGCGCCCTGCCCGGGAGACCCTCGCCCCCCACGCCGCTCCCCTTCCTTGCTTCCTCCCCCCTACTTGTTTCCTCCCTGCCTGGAAGGGCCGCCGTGCCGCCTGTGCGAGCCCCGAGAGCTGCACGCAGCCCTACCCCTCTCCAGGGCTATGCCCCTGACAGACAACGTCTCCCCGGCATGCCGGGGGGAGAAGCTGAGGGGGAGGCCTCTCACCGAGAGGGACCCCGCACGCTGACAGCGGCCCCGGAGAGGCCGAGGCAGCCCCCGCCAGCCTGGCATCCTCACAGCTACGACACGGTTCTGAGCCCCTGTGCACACACATGCCGCTCCTCGCCCACGCGCTGACTAAGGATGCTGTGGGAGGAAGGCTTTGGGTGCGACGGCAGGAGAAAATAATAGGCAATGTTGGGGTTTGCTCGCTGTCTCAGTCAGTGTTGGCAGCAGTAGTACTCCAGCAGCGTGCTGCTGTGGGCTGTGGAGGAAAGGCTGGTGCTAGCAAGCCAGTTCCAAGGCGGTGGCAGCTCTCCTCAAAAGAAGATATGGAAAATTATTTGGAATGTGTCTCGAACAGGCTCTCCTTCTGCCTCACACATCTCCGTGTTCTTCATAATCTCAGCATGTGGCTAGTGGATGAAGCTGCGTCTCTGAATCTTAAAGGTCATGTCATGTGTTCACTATTATGACTGATGTATACCTTAGCATAATTTCGAGGCTCTAACTTTAGTAACCTTGACAGCATTCATGAACATCTTCATGCAGCATCTCTTTGGATTCTGTAATGACCTGTTGTATTAGGTCATTGGTTTTGTCTCCTATTTTTTTGCAGTGACCAATATTCTGTTAATAGATGCCACTGTTTATATAATGCAGTATGACGAAACAGAAGAAATTCATAATTTTGTGGTAAAATTCCCACACTTCTTTACAATTAATGAATTTGAGCAAATTTGGAAGTTTTTAGTTCCTGAATATGGGAAACAGAATTGGATTTGTGAGAGATCCCTTTGTGTCAAATGATTTTAAAAACATCCTATAAAATATGTATTTACCAAGCAATGTTATTAACTGGACTTAATTAATTGGTTAATTTGTATATTAACATTCACTGGAAAAAAATCCCCAACATCCTACACAGGCATAAAAGAAATAGATTCCTTTTAACTGAATGTATCAATGGTCCGTGACTGTGCCACACAAAGGAAATTTTGCCAGTGAAAATATTAGAAGGATGCAGCACACGCTAGACGTGTTCTCTTACACCCTTCAAAATGCTCGCCAACAATTTAGATGCTCTAGCTCCAAGAAACCAACCCATAGCTTTTTCTTCTATTTAATGTTTTAATACCTGACTCTACAGTGTCCTGGTTGCAATCTTCTTGCAAAACATGTAAGCAGTTACATCACAGCAGAGGATGTTTCACCAGAGCTGCTCTGCCTTGGCTCAAAATCTTTATGGACCATAAAGATACAATATTTCTTAGGTTGGGAGTGAAAGATTGCAGCTTTTGGCTGAAAATGAACAGGAATTTGGATAAGAGGAATCAAAATGGTCTATGTAGCCAGGATCCTGGGATTAGTAGCTGTATACTTTCTGGTGTAATAGGATC